AAGAATTTTCATGAAAGCATGCGCATGTGCGTGTGCTGCAAGCTGATTGGCTGAAACTTTAAATGGCTATATCTCCTTTGTTTTTTGACGAAATTCTTTGAAATTTAAAATATAGTCATGCATTGGGATATCCTACAAAATGATATACAAAAAAAAAATCACGAAATCACGCGCATGCACGTGTGCTGCAATTTGATTGGCTGAAACTTTAAATTGCTATTTCTCCTTTGTTTTTTGACGAAATTCTTTGAAATTTAAAATATAGTCATGCATTAGGATATCCTACAAAATGATATAAAAAAAATCATGAAATCATGCGCATGCACGTGTGCTGCAATCTGATTGGCTGAAACTTTAAATGGCTATAACTCCCTTGTTTTTCAACCAAACAGGATGGGATTTAGAACATAGATAGATGTAAGAGACTCCTACAAGAAGGTATGATCATCATGCACGTGCACGCACGTGCGTGCATTTGAAACGAGTATATTTAAAAATACTCTTGAAAGACAGGATGATATGGTCATAACGCACATGCATTCACATGCGCGTGGGTGCAATGCTAAAAATTGAATATAATTGGTATCCTTCTGGAAAAACGTTGTTAAAGTCAAAAATGCACAGAGTTTGTCTTATTTAATGAAGCTTACAGGGAATATGGCACCGAAAGGGAGTTGGGGAGCGTTTGGGGAACATCTGTAACGGTTCCCGTTACAATTAGCACTAGTTATTATTATTATTATTTTTTTTCTTATTTGTTCTCCGGTACTTTTTTGTCCGCGAGTGTTCTCAGAAACTGTTCACCCAACTGACCTAAAACCTTTTTAGGGTTAATAGGTGTGTAGTGTAGGTGTGCGGAACGAAGGTCATTTTGCGCGCATACGCCTGCACGTGCGGGCGCGTGATATGAGTGAAATGACTAATATATTTAAGATAGCCATAACTTTAACATTTTTCGATGAAATGCTTTGAAACTCATTATGTAAGGATATATTAATAGTGTACATAACGTGACATTGTCAAATTAGCACGTACTCACGCGCATGCACGTGCGCTTCGCTCTGATTGGCTAAAACAAAAATCTCAGTATCTTCTCTGTTTTTTGACGAAATGCTTTGAAATTTAAAACATAGTCATGAATTAGGATATCCTACAATATGATATAGAAAAAATTTCATGAAATCACGTGCATGCACGTGTGCTGCAATCTGATTGGCTGACACTTTAAATGACTATATCGCCTTTGTTTTTTGTCGAAATGCTTTGAAATTTGAAACATTGTCATACATTAGGATGCCCTGCAATATGATATACAAAAAATTTCAAGAAATTACGCGCATGCACGTGTGCTGCGATCTGATTGGCTGAAACTTTAAATGACTATATCTACTTTGTTTTTTGACGAAATGCTTTGAAATTTAAAACATAATCATTCATTAGGATATCCTACAATGCGATATAGAAAAATAATCATGAAATCACGCGCATGTACGTGTGCTGCAATCTGATTGGCTGAAACTTGAAATGGCTATAACTCCCTTGTTTTTCAACCAAACAGGATGGGATTCAGAACATAAATAAATATAAGGGACTCCTACAAGAAGGTATGAATATCATGCACGTGCACACATGTGCGTGCATTTTGAACGAATGAAATAAGAAATACACTTGAATGAGTGATTTTTAATACTTTTGGACTGAATGCTTTCACATATAGTATATTACAGGGAATATGGAACTAAAAGGGAGTTGGAGAGCGTTTGGGGAACATCTGTAACGGTTCCCGTTACAATTAGCACTAGTTATTATTATTATTATTTTTCTTCTTCCTGGGAAAATTTTGTCCACCAGTGATCTTGTAAACTATACATCCGACTTAGGTGAAACCTTTTTAGGGTCAGTAGGCATGTTATGTAGAGTTGCCAAACGAAGGTCATTTTGCGCGCACGTGCTTGCAAGAGCGCGCACGTGCAACACGTGAAATGACCAATATAATGTATACTGCCGTAACTTTTCTATTTTTTGATGAAATGTTTTGAAACTCATAATGTAAGGATATATTAGTAGTATAAACAAGATGACTCTGTCAATATGGCAAGATCTCACGCGCATGCATGTGCACTTCGCTCTGATTGGCTGAAACTGAAGTCTCAATATCTTTCTTGTTTCTTGTCAAAATCATTTGAAATTTTGAACTTAGTCACAAATTATGAAGATCTACAGCATGATTAACAAGAATTTTCATAAAAGCACGTACATGCATGTGTGTTTGCAAGAGCACGCGCGTGCAACACGTGAAATAACCGGTTTAAGTGATATAGGCGTAACTTTTTACATTTGTAATGAAATGCTTTGAAATTCAAAATGTAAGGATATATTTGTAGCATAGACAGTATGACATGGCCAAAATACCAAGATCTTACCGCATGCACGTGCGCTTCGCTCTGATTGGCTGAAACTAAAGTCTCTATATCTTTCTTGTTTTTCAAAGAAATCTTATGGAATTTTGAACATAGCCATGCATAAAGATATCCTACAACATGATATATAACAATTATCATGAAAACACGTGCATGCACGTGCGCTGCAATCTGATTGGCTTAAACTTTAAATAGCTATAACTCCCTTAGTTTTCAACAAAAGAGGATGGGATTTGGAAAATAGATAGATTTAATAAACCTCTACAAGAAGGTGTGGCCACAATGCACATGCATACATGTGGGTGTACATGCGCTGTAATCGGATTGGCTGAAACTTTAAACAGCTATAACTCCCTTGGTTTTCAACCAAACGGGGTGGGATTTAGAACATAGATAGATGTAATGGACTTCTACAAGTAGATATGGTCACCATGCTCATGTATGCACGTGCGTGCACGTGAAATGAGTTAAATCAAAAATACACTTGAATGAGCGTATGTTTTAATACTTTTGGTTTAAATACTTTAATATTTAGTATATTAAAATTTATAAATTATGTAGACAAGATGATATGGTCATTACGCACATGCATTCACATGCGCACGCGTGCAATGCTAAAATTTAAATGAACTTGGCGTTGATAATTAAAGTCTCAAATGCATAAATTTTGTCCTATTTAATGAAGCTTACATGGAATATGGCACCAAAAGGGAGTTGGGGAGCGTTTGGGGAACATCTGTAACGGTCCCCGTTACAATTAGCACTAGTTTGAGTAGATGTTCACCTTATCACAGGCTCTTGTCGATCATGCTTCTGGGAAAATTAAAATCATTCTGTTAAAGATTAGATACATAAAATCAAAAAAGAAATATCAAAATGTGGACTTTATAAAATTGTTACAAGGTTGCCTCATTCTCGCAAAAGCGTCATCTTCAAGCTATTATAGAGATATAGTTTGTAAATAATCACTTGAAATAAAGTCTGATGATAGAATTTAAGTTATTAAAAGCACCGGGTTGAGGAGACGGGGAAGGGGGATGTTAATTAGAAGTTCGAAATTCTTTTTTTTTAATGAAAGGTAACGTTATGGAGGGGGTGGGTGGATGGGTGTTACATTGCTCCCTCATCAACAAACATTTGAAAGTAAAAAAAAATAAATAAAAATAAGAAAAAGACAATAGAAAAGGAGGCAGTATCTCCAGGCCTTCGCGAATCCCCCAGTCCATGAGGATTAACGCGTATCACATTTGAGTTTTATAAAGGTTTTATCATATTAAAAAAAAAAAGATGAGGGTCAGATTTCTGTGGGGGTCGATCATTACTCAACGTGATTGGATCGAGTCGTAGAATTACTGGTCTGGATGGATTTCTTCTATCGAAAATAAAAATCCTGCAGTGCTTAACCTAGAATATTAACCCCGGGTCATTTTTATTCTACGTAGAAATTTTACGTACCCCCCCCCCCCCCCCCCGCTTTCCATGTTCTACGGGGGGGGGGGGCTTTTCGACATTACACCGGATTAATATGCTCACTTATATTGCACTGTCACGGATATACATTTTTGACTGCAAGAACAAAGGAATGACATCACAGCTATTTCTTCAAATTCAATCTTAACGTGTTCACGGTATAGGATGTCGATATGCCGTTTTTGTACACGTTTCACGACATATTATTGACTTCTAACGCCGGTTGGCGACCCCCCCCCCCCTCTTTAAAAATATATATACATATATGTATGTATGAGAGATTTTATTAATTTCTTTATATTAGAATGTTCAGTTATTCCTAAGTTATTGTATGCAAACTTATTTTTTATTGGAAGATAGTGTAAAAAATTGGCACGAATGCAATGAATAATTATATAAGACACACTACTATTCTTCAGCCAATTTATTTAAATAATTATTATTAAGATGGCAGAAAACATAGAAGACAACCCCCCCCCCCCCCCCCCAAAAAAAAAAAAAAAAAAAAAAAAAAAAAAAAAAACAAAAACAAACAAACAAACAAACAAACAAACAAACAAAAAATAACTGGATAAAAATTAATCAATAGCTAACTGACATACATTCTTTTTAATGAAAAATTTATATATATGGTAATATGTATTTATATGCCTAATGCGCGGTGTATTTACACGGAATTAAAAAGTGTGCGTAAGACAAGTTTGCATTTTACTTTTATTTGTTGTTTTCCGCCACATGTTTGTAGATTTTTTGAATCGATGTAAGGCAAGATTTGACGTTTCTCTTTTGCAATAATGAAAGGAAACTTTTATTAAACAGTCTTTTTGATAACCATTTTAGTCAGAAATTTTGAAAGGAAGATTGCTCAAAGACATGCGCTAAGCCTAATATTCATATGTAGGCCTATTTGAAGTATTAAATGTGTGGACTTAATCAACGTGGATTTTAAAAAAATTGTTATACTTGTACAGCATCTATAAATTTACATGTTTTGAACTGTTTTCAAACAAGTACTATTGTATTATCATCGTATTATTTTCAGATTTGACTCTAAAAATAGTTATTTTTATGTGTTGTATTTTTCAAGACCATCACCATATTATCTTTTTTTAATACAGATGGTGTTCTTTTCTTGCAATGCTTGTGGTGATTCACTAAAGAAAAACCAAGTGGAAAAGCATTACACAACAAAATGTCGTCAAGCCAAGTCATTGTCCTGTATTGACTGTAGCAAGGAATTCTGGTATGATAAGTTTATGTGTAGATAAAAAAAAATTACAAGGGTAATTCATATAATTTTGTTTTTTGGTGATTTATTTAATGTCTTACAATATATATGCATGTTATAAATCCCTGCGAGATTTGCCAAGACTGAAAATATAGAAATTATTTTTATATATATACAAAGAAATATTTTGCTTATTTCAATGCAAAAAAAGATTTTATAACCAATTAAACATATTGTGATACATATCATATGATCATGGCTCAAATATGACATTCGGAGCTCCTCGGGTGGCTCGTACCTCTCGACACATTTCGAACGGAACATATAGTGGAGTCAGCCGAAGATTGCCAATTGCAAATATTGTGACATATTTGAATCGTCCCAGCCCTGGGAAGCATCCTCAGGTAGATTCAAGTTTGTTCAAATCATAACCCTGGGGGGTAGGGTGGGGCCACATACCTTCAGTATGTTTTGTGTCCTGTGTGAAAAATGAGGAAAAGAGTAAACACCTCTCTTAAGTACAATATAATTTACTCTTCCTGATCAAGTTTTCATGGTGAAAATCAATCTTTTAAAAATTTTTTAATTGAAGTCTGACAAAGTAATATTTCCCTCATGTGTCATTCAGAAATTATTGAGAATTTTATATTAATATTGGATAATATGTAAGATTTCAAACACAATACATTTTGAGTTATTTCCCTTTGACCAAATTGGTGGAAGTTTGCTAATTGTTCAATATGGTTATATTATACTTTCAGTGAACATTTCATATTGTTTGACTTTAAAAGGAGAGAAAACAAAAATCAAATATATTGCAGTTTTTAAGAATTTTTGTACAAATTCAATTGAAAATCTATTACCATCTACATATGTATTTCCATATTAATATTTTCTAAGTATTACTAAAAATAAATGTCTATTTTGAAATTTCAGGGGGCAAGAATATGATAAACACACGAAATGTATATCTGAAGAAGAGAAGTACTCTGGGAAAAACTATGTACCAAAAGCAGGGGCCAACAAAGGGGAACAGAAACAGAATCAGTGGCTAGAGGTAATTCCGGAACAATATCATTATCTCTAGGGCTTTTGAATAATTGTGACTGTAGAGAGGAGATGAATTTACCCTTTAGAATAGGCTGTTTTTAAAGCATTTCCATAATTTATTTTGCCAATTAAAATATTTGAAGAGATGTATTTTTATCATTAAAAAAGAGGGACAATTGCCTCCAGTCTCTCCTTATTGAAAACCCTTTATCCTGGTCTGTATACATGAAGAATATTACCGGTAGTAAAAAATATTTAGTACTGTATTTAAATAAAAGTTTTATAGCAAATTGAAGAAAAAATTATGAATGTATTTGCCTGTATGTCATGTTATTAAACAGAATTTTTTTCTTTTTAATCATAAAATGTTACACCTATAGTTACCTTTTTAGATTAAGTATTCATGCAAACTTTTTTCTTTGCATGTTTATCAAGCCGTATTCACATTGTATGTAAGTCCTACTTGCTA